AGATATCCCACTGATAGTTTCCTGAATTTTTTAATAATAGCCTACAATATTTTTAAACAACTTATTTCTGAAAGATACGAAAAAGATTTTTTGTCATGCGGTAACCAAAAATTATTATTAATAAAAATATGTTTGAAGAATTTAGAAGTGGATGATGAAATTTGAGACCAATGTCAGAATAGTTTTAAATACTACATTTCAAAAAGTTTGCAAACATTCGCCAACATCCTACTAAATAATTATTCAAAATGTAAGAATAACAATTTAAGGGACAAGACTAGGACAACAAAAAATTGAAAAACTGATGTCAGTCAAATAGGCAGTTTTATATTAAATTAAGGGTTGATTGTTGGATTTTAAAATATGACTGTCTATATTCTTAAAATATATTATTAATTTTATATTTGTAGTGTTTATTGAAATCTAATCTAGCGGCCTGGGCCAGTCCGGCACTGCATATTCCTTACAAGCTGTACTTTTTACTAAAACTGCTGTAATTGTTGGATAGAAAAAGTTATTTTTTAAAACTTCCTTATTCAAAAGGTTATTTTTATTTATTCATAGAATGAAGATGAAAGCCTACGATACTTACCAGGCCTCATAGGCGGACAAGACAAATTTCCCATTTCACTTTCACAATAGTAGGTACCTATAACTAAAATACTTTATGTACTGCAAAATTCATATTAACGAAGATATAAGATATACTCCATACTTTTGACTGATAATATCTTTAATTTTATAAGTTTAATGTAAATTTGAATCTCACAAACACAATTTGAAAATCGATGACTAACAATTATTTGAAACATAATTCCTTTGCGCGTTCACTTATTCTTAAAATCGCGCTGCGCTATTTACTTCAGCTGCTGAAAAAAGGAAACAAGAGACCATTTCTTAAAAATTCCTTCTGAAGAACATTTTTGTGTCCTTTGGCCACAATTCATTCGATATATGTGTTACAATTATAGCAATAACAAAAAAGTTTCTCGCATGGTGAATTTTTCTCTGCGCGGATAATAAATGCGCGATTTAGTAGGGCCTGTTAAAACTATACTAATACCAGATAAGACATTATATACGCATAATTAGAGGCGCATATTATTCTAGTTTAAGACACCGAAAGGATTATAATGATATATTCCTAGAAAAAGAAATATAATGATGTAAAGATAGAAACACACGGATTTACTAACATCGTTTTATCTTCAATACTTTAAACCTAAAAATTAATTATTTTTAGTGTTATTAAAAATTAACGAACACCATAATTTGATTGTGTGTACTATTGAGAAGCTCTCATTGAAATTTCGTGGCTCTATGTTGAACGGATCCGGAGTAAAAAAATAAATAGTGGAGCCGCGCACGGATTTTCCATAAGTCGTAATGTATTTCATGACTCCTAACGTCACGTGACTTTTTCGAGCGCTCCGGGCTGTAAGTATCGTAGGCCTCGGTATGATGTGTGTGATGTGAATTGTGATGTACTATGTACTGCAGTGATTTCATTGCTAGCGTACAGAATATCAAAAAAACCGTAAGTAAGTAAAGTTTATGGAGGATCCGTGCAATATTCTTCGGAAAACGAGATTTATAAGACTGTGTGTGCGTGCAATATCAAATTATGCTCACTCACTACGCGTATTGCCTACCTTTCGGCATATGCCAATCGGTGGGGTTTCTTTTTGAAATTACTCGTATAGTGCTAATTGTAGTTGTAAGCTACACGTGTACATACATTTATTTAAAGTAAATACAACATCTTAACATTGATATCCAATTGGTGATAATACTCATTTAGTGAACATTCATTACGTTTGTAAAAGTTCACAATCCGAACCATGGTCAGATGAAATTGACAAATCCGAATCATCCACTGTCATTATTAACACTTATTGTAAAGTTCAGCAACATCAACCAATATAACTTCTCTTTTAAATTAATAACTTTCCACATATTCACACACTTTCTTCCAATTGTCAGCTGTATTTTCTTCAAATTTCTTCATTTGCAAGTTTTCTAAGTAACATCTTCTATTTTAAATGTAACGTTTCTTACTGCTATGCGATTTAAATAAATAAAAAGGCGGTTTATTTATGTTCTACAGTCTCAAATCTGATAATTTTCTGTGTGATTTGTGCTAACAATTTGATTGACAGTTATAATAAATAATGCGAATCTTGTCTTCCATGCTCACAGTACCTCTATAAAGGATAGCGCTATACGTAATTAATGTGCCGAAAGTGATGGTAATAGATGGTACGTCCTTTTGAACTATGTTGGCGTATGGTTGTATCCACTGTATCAATGTACTGTGCGATCAAAAATGAGTTGCTGTCGACTCGCCTTTGAAATTTTTGTTTACATGGAAAATCGTATTTAACTTGAACTTCCAAAGGCGACTCGACAGCAACTCATTTTTGATCACCCGTTATTTATACGTATATCTATGGTAAAAAGAACCCACGATTTCAGTCCGGTATATGGCACATGATAAATCGGATCGCTGTCGCATAATGTGCAAAAGTCCTTATACTGCGTTTTTAGATCGAAAAAAACCTGTGCCTAGCACAGGTACCGCCCACAACCTGCTCATGCGCGATTTTGTCCTTTTATGTCTCAGAAATGTGTACCAAATTTGCTTCCAATCGGTTCAGCTGTTTAGCCGGAGATGAGAGTAGGTATGTACAGCCAGACAGACAGACTGACAGACCATCGAGATTTTGTCTGATGAGCTTCCTGGTGTTTCAAAACATTTCCGTCAAAAAAGTGGAGTGTCATTTTTCCCCAATGCAATACCTCTCCATTGGTAACGTGCGGGTGGTAAAAATCGGTCGCGTGAATAAAAAGATAAGCATTTTCGAAAATTTGCTCTGAACTTCCTGTTCAGATTTCGAGGAGCCTACATCGATATTGGTGTTCAGCAAGTCCTAATTAAGACACTAAAACACTAAAATTGAACCAGTCTCTAGCTGTAGGTGTCCATCATTGAAATTGCAGTAATCGGTTGAAAATTTCCTGCGTTGAATGGATTCGGGGTTTGAACTTTGCGCTTAAATGAGGATGTGTGGAATCAAATTGATACGAGCAATATCTCTCTGTGGAAGTCGTCCGGTGTTCGCGTTGCGGGTCCTTTTAAAATGAAACGGAATACAAGCCAATTTTTTTACCATTCAAATTTGACGGCGTTTATTTTAAGTTTGAGTTTGAATTTTTGTATTAAGTAGTTAATTCTTCATCTTCTGGTAGGAGCAGTAGGCTCTAAATTCACACTATGTTTTAGGGTATAAAGGTAACTCCATGTTTCATTTATTAAGGATCCTCAGATCCTTTATAGTTTTGTATTGTCGCCCGTCCGTCCGTGTGCGCTCTAACTCTTTTCAAAAGTGGCCGATTGTGTTGAAATTTGGTGTACGGGTACTTTGGAAATTAAGGACGGGCACTATTGATTTTCAGGAAGCTGGTTCAACAGGAACAAAAGTTATAGGACTTCGAGTGAATCGGGAACAAGAAAAACTGCTGGCTCAGTATAATAGAAATCAAAATATTTCATTCCCTAGGTCATGTATCGAATTCGGACTTTCGCTACATTATTCCCTATGACTCTTAAGATGTGTAACAATAAACAATTCAATATAACTCTTCTCTGTGGTCCAGTTCAAAAGTTTTAGAGCAAAATGTACCCAAAATTATTCTTTACACATAATTTGGAGTTGTAAAAGCTTGCAAACGCATTATCTTGATGCTGAAAGAGTACATCACGATCACGTGCACATTTGATAACCGCATGTGTGTGATTCAAAGATATGTTGAATTATTTTTCTGAGGCAACATGGATTTTGATCAAAATAGGTCAAAATCGTTATATATGCACCAAGATCGTTGGGAAAAAGACCAAGCGCATTATCTCATTGACCAAATCCTGAATTTGATCTATTTTTGGCGACCATGTGGATTTTGATCAAAGCATACCAAAATCGTTATTTATCCACCAAGAGCGTTGGGAAAAAGATCAAGAGCATTAGTTCAATGACCAAAAGATGCATTTGATCTATTTTTGGCGACCACGTGGATTTTGATCAATTCATGTCAAAATCGGTATTTATGCACCAAGATCGTTGGGAAAAAGACCAAAAGCATTATCTCAATGACCAAAACCTGAATTTGATCTATTTTTCGCGACCATGTGGATTTTGATCAAACATACTACAATCGTTATTTATGCACCAAGAGCGTTGGGAAAAAGACCAAGACCATTATTTCAATTACCAAAACATGAATTTGATCTATTTTTGGCGACCACATGGTTTTTGATCAAAACATGTCAAAATCGGTATTTATGCACCAAGATCGTTGGGAAAAATACCAAATGATCAAAACCTGAATTTGATCTATTTTTGGCGACCACATGAATTTTGATCAAAACGTGTCAAAATCGTTACTTATGCACCAAGATCGTTGGGAAAGAGACCAAGAACATTATCTCAATGACCAAAACATGAATTTGATCTATTTTTGGCGACTACATGGATTTTGATCAAAACATGTCAAAATCGTTATTTATGCAACAAGATCCTTGGGAAAAAGATGAAGAGCATTATCACAATGTCCAAGACATGAATTTGGTGCATTTCTGTTAGCTATAAAATGTATTTAGTAAGATTAAAATAAATTGTCGTTAAAAGTGATTGTAATACTGAGGATCCTTCGATATTTCGGTGTGTCGGTTTATTTTGAATTTATTTATCAGGCGACAAGGTAATTTTGCCAGAGGATTGAAAGCGCACTTTGGTTTTGGTTTTGGAGGTAAAAGCATGGTGTATAATAACACCATGTGCAGAAGTCACGCAACTCCCGCACTCTGGACTCCGTAAGTGGCATGTTACTACGTACTCCTATTACTGTCGATCCCAGTTTCCTGGAAAAAACTTCTTTCTTGCGGCTGCCGCACAGTTTAATCTTATATACTTCAAAAGTTTAATTTAATTTTATTGTTTCAGTATTATTGGTAATTACGGGTGCCGCAATTTATCCATTGGGTTGGGATAATAGGGAGGTTCAAGAAGCTTGTGGAAACTCAAGTCACGCTTATAAATTAGGTACGTATTATCAGATAGAACTAAACTAAACCACTATTTTGCGAACGGTAGTAGATATATTTGAATGTCAAATACTTTCCGTTACCCACAAGATTTTATTTTAAAAATTTAAGCGAGGTTGAAGAACATGTTAATCAAACAATAGCGGGAGATTTTAAAAAATCAGCGTCATAACTCATAGTTGGCAATGGAAGTTTAAATTGTGAACATACCCTGTATAGTAAAGAATACCAGAAAATTCCGATTACTTCCCAAGATACGCCAGAAAAAGCGAAATTTTCCGATTTCGTTTTAATTTTTTTCTGATGATATTTGAACAGATACAACAAAATAAAAAACGCCTTTTCATTGCCACTTTTTGAGCTCTACCAGACACCGTTGAGGCATTTTCAATACGCAACGTTTCGCGAAATCATCATCAACTTGAGAGGTTCCACCCTGTATATACATTATATACAACTTACGGCGATGCACACATTTTTAGAGTTGGCAACCACGCAACTTTTAGATGGGGATAAATCTTGGATAAAGTCACTCTATCTCTACAAAGTAGCGCAATTGGCAAGGACAGTGTGTTAGACAGAGAAAAAACTACTTGGAATTAGTGACTTTATAGAGACAGTGGCGACAATGGAGTCTCCAATTTTTGATTGGTCGTTGAGTTCGGCGACCATTTTGCATCAAATTTCACAGCTTACTTACTGTTTAAGTTGTGTTTCCGCTAATAGGTATGCTCCTGGACTGCTAATTGTAACTAAAATATGGTCAAGGACATCGCCTGGGTATGTGAGTTTCAGGGTAAACGAGTCTGTCCTAAGTTGTCCGCTTAGACACGATTTGAGACTGTCAAACTAGCTGTCAACCTATAAATAATAATAATACACAGACACAGACACTAATCGTTACTTGATTTTAATCCGTGCGATTAGTTAACCAGGCTAGACCTGAGTTCTCACAAGAAACACCGACCATAATAATAATATATTTACCCTGCTATTGTGCTAAGCACTTACATTGGTCAAACTAGGAAATTAAATGACAAACTTTTACATAATAAAAACAAACAAACAAGTAAATCAATAAATAACGTGTTAATAGACACTGCCCAATTTTGATGCTGATGTAAATTCTTCGAAGCTGTAAAACGCATTTTTGAGTAAAAATATGTTTACAGTCTTTAAATGCTGTAGTTGGCAATTCTCTTGTAGCTAATGGAATACAGTTATATAGAGTTTGAGCTTGCCAAAGGGCACCGTTTTGGGAGACTGCTAGTCGGTAACAATTTGTACGAACGTTGAGTTTTCTACGTGTGTCATGTTGATGTCCATCGCAATTTAATGGAAACTTGGAGATGTTGCGTTTAACCATTGAATAAAAACACTATACCATTGAATAAAAATAGTGTTTTTATTCAATGGTTTAACATAGTGCACTGCTTCTAAAATGTATAATCATGGCAACGTTAAAATTTTTAAGTTTATAAAAGCGTTACGACAGTCATCCCTAAAACCTAACCCAGAAACAAAGAGTACCTAACCATAATCTTTGCCCAGAAATGACTCGTATAGCCTTCCGCTGGAGTCTAAACACTTTAGGCCATGAGCAACAGTGACCCCACACTAGAATAGCGTATCTTAATAAGCTTTCCACTAAGGCAAAGTATGCAGGTGTTACTACTAGACTAGAGACATTATCAACAAGCCTCCGCAAGAGAAAAATGTTTTTGCTTATTTTCTTATTTAACAGTTCACAATGAATTGAAAAATTTAAACGACTATCTATTTCACAGCCCAAAAATGTTGCACTTGGAACAACAGGGAATTTTTCACCACACGTATTTTTAAGAGAGAAATGCATGAGTGCTGTTTTAGCGTTTAGCACCAAATGTTAATTAAGTTTAAGCTTTGGTTGGCAATGTTGAACGCTGTCTTGACATTTCTATCTGTAGTAAGGAGTGTTGCATCATCTGCATACAGGATACATGTAACGTTATTGGGCAGGCACAGCGGTAGATCGTTGATATAAACCAAGAAGAGTAGTGGACCTAGAGTTGATCCCTGCGGTACTCCACTTGTTATTGAGGCTTGCTTAGAAAGTTGATCGTTAAACAGCACACATTGTGACCTGGATTGTAAATAGGAGGAGATCAGAGAGCAGCTAGATGGCGAAAAGTTGTACCTACAAGTGACGAAGTTAGCGTATTAGTAAATTGTGTTCCACGCAATCAAATGCCTTCGATAGGTCGATAAAAGTGGCTACAGAAGGAAAGCCATTTTCGAATCCTTCAAGGGTTCTCTTGGTAAATTCCATTATCGCATTAGAAGTACCGCGTTTATAATTAATAAACGTCACTTAATTAATCGCCTAGATATTCCAAAAAAGCAAACCTATTCTTACTTGTGGACGGATAGAAGATAATCAATAGTATTTAAAGCTTCCCGTACGGCCGTACTACTCAGTTAATATAAAAGCCACTCTTTACGCGATCCTAGTGGTGTTTACACGACTTTAGTTTACCCTGAGATTCACATAATTACCCACGACTACGGTGCCCTCTATCCGTGACCATCCATTTTGTATTGAAAGCGCGGGCTAATAGCAGTCCATGTACTATGGTCTAAGTGCTGAACCCTCACTGTAAACGATCAAAAACCACCATTTGGCAATGAGTTATCACTTCCGAAGCGGAAGCCTCAACCACTGAGTGAGTTCGAAATCAACCATGCTGTGATCAATTGAAAATTGATGTTCTCAAGGAAGCGGGATGGACGAATAGTACAGGAGAATTGACAACGTACAAATCAAGGTTGATTACTCGTGGATTCGCAAATTTTTCTACATGGGAGTCTTGAGGAGGACATTTTTATGGAACAGCCAGACAGTGTTGTGAAAGGATAATTTGTGTGCAAACTGAAAAAGTTCCTGTATGGACTTAAACACGCGCCTCTAACTTGTTTGAGGCACAATAAAAATGATTGTTGTGTTGTTTTATATATCGCTAATTGTACTAATGAAACGCTTATTAAATATTCATTCACAGTAGGTGTAACGCCACCGTCGCTAAGTAAATTGGCTACTCCTTAATATTGTATTGTGTATTGCCTACTTTCCAATTTGAGTTTTTGATGCAAAATGGCGGATGAACTCCTATTGTCGCCACTGTCTCCATAAAGTCACTACTTGGAATACGAATACATATATAATATATGTATATACGGACATAAGGACATTATGTATATAAGGAAAAAATGTGGAAGGTAATAAAATCATAACATACTGTCCACAGCTGGGTAGGTATAAATTGATATACGAGTAAAATACGTAGCTGTAATTATATGTACTTTCACCCTTAATTTCATCAGAAACTGTAATTTAAATGCGTTTGCGACCACCAGCATGTTTATTTATATAAGTTTTCATTTAATTACCAAGTTATAGGGTGGACAAGAGGCTGCCCTCACGCAAATTATAATTGTATACTGGGGTTGTCAGCGGAAATTTCATTAGCGTAAATATATCTATTCCAATTAGAATATATCAGAAGCTATACCAACAGAAGTACATTACATGGAAATAAATGTGTTGTGTTCTTGGCACTTACAATGAGTTTAGCGTGCCTTTGGAAGTTGTAATTAGGTTTACTTACTGATATTTATTTAATATCACAAACTGTCTTAAACAGTTGCCTGCAAGAAATTGTTTATTAATGCTGTGTATAGCTTTTTGGGGTAGGTAAACCGAGAAATTTATGAGAAGGATTTATTGCGACAGAAGGATTTATTTTGAAGCTATCCTAGCAAAATTTTATGTGGAAATACATAAACGATAAATAAATCATCTTTTGCGCGGAATAGGCCAGTAAAATCAAGACTTTTACAATTGCAAACGTGGACTTCGTGAGGTCGTTAGTCACCTGTGTCGCATTAGAAAAATAGAGATTTGTAACAAACCAATTTACCGGCAATAACTCTTGATTTTTATTTCTAAAAATTATGAAAATGCTATTGGTACAAGAGCGAAATAATATGTGTAAGCCAGAAACTTATTTGTACTTACCTAATCGCAGAATGATATGATACTTAAGGTGAAACCGAATTAATATAAATGAGACAGTCGGATGGTTGTATGTGTTCGGATGAACACGCACGTTTTAAATTTAGATGGTGTTATTTGGAGATTGAATCAGACATATAGAGCGTGGAATACAACGAGTAAACAACGTTTTGCATGATTTGGGGTATAAAAAGTCAAACTTAGGGTTTTGACATTGTGCGTAAACGAAATTAAATATATACAGGTTGGCCAAAAATTACTGTCGGTGCTGAAACCAAACAAAACGTCCGAATGACCTAGTTTACACAACAATATGTCGGAGTTGTTTCATTTACCGAGAAATAAACTGCACATACCATTATACCAAGGAACAGTCACCTTGCCCTAGGGGAATTTTTCACTACGAGGAATCGACGTGACTTCCAAATAATATGGATGAAAACGGTATTATTTCTTTTGTATTTTGTTTGTTACAAAAAAAACCGTACCTAAACTATTGCGGTGACGTGTAAACATTTCCAAATAGCAAATTCTTTTATTTCATGTGTATTTTAATAGGTAGACCTTAACTGGGGGAGGTTTTCTATTATTTTTGTATTGGTTAGATTATTGTTGTCATATTAGAGGTTTGGTTATCGAACTTAACGACTATCATCACTGAGGCACTTATTGAATGCCTGCGCAAAACCAAATTTTGAAGCTGTTGTTAGATTTGCTTTGATTCCAATTGCCTGTGTAGTTGTTAGTGTTACTTATATTTGTAGTGTTTCATTTAAATATCTTCATAAATGAAAAAGTTAGCATTGTGCATGCGTTAAACAAAATTTTTGACACTGTGCATGCGTGAAACCAAAAATATCGGTACGCACGGAATCCTTTCATCAAGCTCTACCAAATGAGTTCCATATCGCACAAATCGGTTCAGTCGTGCAGAAGTAGTACGTGTGACGGACGGACGGACGGACACAGAGATGACTAAGTGCAGCCAATAGCGTTTGTTCACTTTGAGGAAAATATACTAAAAATTAAGGTAGATCTCATTGGTAGGACGTTAGGCAGCATATCGAATAATACTTTTATTATACCATGAATAATACTATACACTAGCTTATAGTCCTTTTAAACCATTTTGTTTACATTTTTAGCGTATTTTCTTCAAAGTGAAAAATCTCTATTGGTTGCACTTTGTATTTGAAACAGTTTGGTCAAAGGATTTCAAGGTGCATACCGATTTTGTTTGGTTTTGCGCATGCGCAGTGTCAGAAATTTGGTTTAACGCATGTGCAATGGTAACTTTCTGATTTATGAAGATATTTAAATGAAACGTTACATGTAAACACTACGAATATAAATATAATTAAATGAAATATATGTATTATGTAGGCACTTTGAATAAACGTAAAACTAATACCGGCTTCAAAATTACTTTTTGCGCATGCTGTATGTTTTATTTATGAAGGTATGGTGTTTGATTAGATTATAATCCTTACAACTAATTTGAAATCTTCCTGATTTATCCTTCATTTCCACCTTTCCTAATCATCTTTGCCTCCTATAGAAATAGTAGCGAAGTATTTGAAAAACTTGTAGTAAATGTGCGGTAATTCCGGATTTTAGTCAATTAATAATAATAATAATACTAATAATAATAACTCAGGAACAAAGAAACACCATAAATACAATTAAAAAACACAAAACTCCTTCTTCACAGAAACACACCACGTTATCACAACCCACTCGTATTCAACCCAAACGCAAAGCCAAAGAAACACTTACAGAATAAACTCCATTTAATAAAATTACAGGACTTATTATAATGATTTTTTTTGTTTTGTTTTGTTTTCCTCTTTCCTGATAGCGTTGGCTATTGTGCCCATCAATAGGTATGTTGGTAAGTACGAATTACATACTATCCCCAGATGTCTAATGTAGGTACTACATAACTTCACCAGACACAGACACTAATCGTTACTTGATTTTAATCCGTGCGATTAGTTAACCAGGCTAGACCTGAGTTCTCACAAGAAACACCGACCATAATAATAATATTCCTTGATTGTTTTATTGCCTTTGGTATAGCATTAAATACTTTGATGCAATTATTGTAATAACCTCTCTCATAACGCGTTGTACGCGTAATTTCTTCACAGACTTCCTTACATTAAAAAAATGAAGTTGTTTTTAACAATGTCATTCTTATAGTAGTTTTCTAATATTGTCTTATTGTTTCAGGATCATGTCAACATTCGTGGTCTGTTTACGTACTGGCCAGCGCTGTTCTCATTCTACTTCTATGTGTGTGTTTAAGTTTTTGTGCTTCTCGTGTGAACGGTCATTCTTTCAGAATGTGAGTGTGCATCGGTGGCTGGCTTTTATTTTAATAAAATCAATTAATAAACCTATAAATAAAACAAAGTGATAATGTAAATAGACGAAACTTATTTTCTGTGGACCAATGACGATACTTTATCATACTGTCTGTCTGTATAATACTAAGCTTATATAGAAAAAACCGATGTTCTATTGTAAACATTTTATAGAAAAACTCTGCATTTATTACATTTAAACTAGTATCAAAGAATTTTTTTAGATGGGTAAAATTGGTTGACTGGTGGAAAAAGAAACTATAGCGAAGATAGTCATCCCTAAAAAACAAAGTGATGATCTTAGAGGTCCCCAATAATCAGGCACTGCAATTTCACTTACCCCATACTTCTTATACCGTGCCCCATACTAACAGCTGGCTAACTTTGGGGAAAAAAAATTTGAAGCGAGGCCATGCAACATCCATGTCAATTTATTACTTTCATTAGAATACCATGAAGGGTAGAACGTGTGTTGAAAAGTGTTGCTTGGCACCACTAAAGGCATGCATATCCGAGAACAATTGGTTTTATTCCTAAAAAAATATCCTAAAAAATCGATAGTTTTTCTTTAAATGATAAGACCTAGGATAAGACAATATATGTAGGACTTGCAACGTTTTGGAAGCGTTAATTGTCAGTGGGCTCTAAAATGGCGGACGAGTTTACGGACGAGTCAACTGTGGTATATAATAGTAGCTATAATTCACATGATTGCAGCTGTCTTACACAGGGTGTTACTGTTACAATGTTACATGACCGCATGCAAAAATAATTGGGTGATAGAGGGGATCAAGCACTTTTTCCAAATAAACCGAGGGTCCAACGTGTTTCGTTTGGGAGCCACCCCCAAAGAAGTGGTGAAATTTGGTTTTCTTCTCTCATTTTTTTCTCAGCAACCATAAGAGTTACAAAGATGGGTAGCACGTCTTTGAATAGGTTTTCGGATATGCCCTATCCGATTTTGAAATTTTTTTTCAAAATTTCTACTCTGATTTCGACGAAGTTTGGTATCTAGGGGTTTTTGAACATGAAAATGACGAATCTGAAATTAGTTTTTGAAAATTCGAAAATAAAGTTCCACTGCAATTCTTGGCCGGACAACGAAAATGGAAAGAATACCACGACATTTGTTGTGTAAATACTTGATAAATTAAGGAACAAAATGGGGGTTTACAGTAGGTATAGTTGAATTCCGCAGTTCTAATTTAATAAGCGTGTACCTGAAACCATAAAACATTTTTTTGGACAGTAAAAGTTTATTTAAAAATAGAGGCTGATTAGCAAAAAAATAATGAACATGTGCGGTTTTAAAGGTTTATTCAAAACGATATGATTGTGGCGGGCTCTGTGACGTAATAAGCCCGACCAATCAGTTCCTATTAGAACCATTCAGATGACATAACGACTTGGCAATATTGCAGGAGAATGGCATTTATAACTTGCGTCATCTGTCACAGGCACTTGTCACTTTCGTGCTAGATGCAGTTAAACATCCCTCTCAAAACTTCAAATGTGAAAAACGTCAGACCCTCGCGTAAGGTTGCCAGCTCACTTCTACGTGATTGGTTGTAGGTTTGTGATGTTTTTAGTCTGAAGCGTTTCAAATTCGAACTAAAAACACAGCTTTTCCATAATTTAGTTTGGGTTAATTTTACTCGCAAATAAAAATTGAGAACACACGGGTCTTTTTATTTTTAATGTACTTTGTGGATCAGAAATAAAAAATTAAGGCGGGATGACCCCATTGTGGAACAGTTTTTTAAAAATAACCTTTCAAACAAAAGTTATACTCATTTGAAGATTGGGCCTTCGGATTACAAAGTGTCCCCTGCCTACTAGCATAGAGTAAATAATATAGTGGGTGATCTAATTTCGGATGTAGTTAATTGAAAATGTCGCAAATATCAAAAAAATAAACATTCACATACCTACTCGTGTCTTAATAACTCTTATTAAATGCGAGTTTCATACACTTTTCTACGACTATGATGAGCTATTCGAGAAGGGAAGTGATAACAGATGGCGCTACCACAACACAAAATGGGCGGTGTAAACGGGGTTAAATTGTGTTTTGTATGTATCGTGCATACGTATTACCATTGAGTATTACTTACTGAGGCACACAACAATAATTCTTGCTCTTATTTTTTTTAAAGAGGACGAATTTAACGTACATTCAGCCATAATGCTTATTATTTATCCCGTTTAGGTTAGTTACATATTTCTCCGCCACGTGTCGCGTCGATCTCTCCCCTTCTCGAATAAAGAGGTGATGTTACGATGTCTTCAGAAGCGGTCCAAAAGTTGAGATTTTTATTGTGTGCAGGTAGCGAAGTTACCGATATCAAAGCATGCGCGCTGCGCAGTCATTGTAAAGCTGGATTCACATGAATACGAAATCCGACGATACGGTCATCCGAAATGCTTATGATTGGTCAATAGTTTGAAATGTCAAGCACATTTCAAATTATTGACCAATCATAAGCATTTCGGATGATCGTATCGTCGGATTTCGTATTCATGTGAATCCATCTTAACGCGTTCCAGGCACAGAGTTGTATATAAGTAAATAGAGGGGCAGTACATACGACCTGCGCGTGGAAAAATAACTCCAACTACAGTGGTCAACTTTTAATGGCGGAGCCGTTGGGACTCATGCGCAGTGCGTGAAAGGGAATCAGCACAATTTTTGGGTGCATTCAGTTACATAATCACAAAACAAAACAGCAATAACTTTTCAGATGCTTCAGATTCAATTCATTTGTAAATAAACAGACGCTTTGGAGTAATAATTTAAGCATGCCCATTACATTATACTCTTTACCGCCATTTCAATGTTTAGTAGGCGACGATCTGTACATAAATAAAGGATATTTTAAAATGCTCCTAGAAAAGTGCAAGAAAAGATCAAATATATGGGTGGAAGGAAAACTCTTCGCAAGCAATTGTTGAAACTTGGTTTTCGATACAAGAAGTGTCGGGACAAACGTAGGTTGGTAATGGAAAGAAGTGACATTGTAGTATGGCATCTCGTTATTTAAGAAGATTAAAAGAAAATGAACAACCTGAATGTGACAATTAACCCGTTATATACTTGGACGAAACCTATATTCACCCATCGTACGAAGTGAGTAAATGCTAACAATCAGATGAAGTATCGGAAGTTTATAATAGGGCTGGTCAGAGGTACATCGTAGTATGCTGGTAGTTGTTCTGGTTTTGTAGAGGATGTCGCACAGTAAATCGGGGGATTATTACGATGATATGAATCATACCAACTTTATGCAGTGGTTAGAGAAGCAGCTTATACCAAATTTACCAGCAAACTCACGCACCTTATCAGTGTTCAAATAAATAAGCCACCAACAATGAATAATCGTAAGGAAGTGATACGTTCTTGGTTAGAAGCAAATAACATTCCTACGAGAAATGAATTTATTGACAATGTACAATTTATTGTGAACACCGGCAGTTCCAATGATGATTAGTGGTCAAGTGACGATAATGAATGAAAAAAGTTAAAGGTTGTGTGTTAATTTAGTCAATGTGAGTGTTATTAATTTCAATGTGATTGTTTCAATAACTGTCCATATTTACACAGCAGAAGTGCATCAGAATTGTAAATTGTGTTGAACATGAACATCTAACAATCTTAAATGTGTTTACGTTTTGTAGAAATAAAATTATTAATTTTACTGTTTCCCCTTGAAGTAATGCAACTCATATCGCGTGGCCCACTTATTTATATTTAGTAGAGTCAAATATTGCATGAGAATGTACAGTCTAAATTTCCAACGTCCTCGGACACGCCCTGTCAGGAACCTTCTGAGCGTGGTGCCACTGTACATACCCTCTGCCGATGCTCCATTTTTGAGATATTTGAGTTATTGGCATTTGAAGTTTGTCGACTTTGTGGCTACCCGTATTCAAACTGTGTTTTCGGCATTGCACACCTGAAATTTTGTCCCGCACCAAAATAAAATTTCAACTTATTTTATTCTTTCATTGCTTATTTTTATACTCACTGAGTGCATAAATAGATCTTTAAACTCGATCGCACGACAAATATACGATTTCCTTTATACCAGAATCTCAAATCTCGATTCTGATGTTGTAAGCCCCTTACCAGCTTTGTATTGTAGTCTACTGTATTAAAAGTTCTTAACGATTGTAATGTTTCTTATTTATTCAAGACACAGTGTTAACAACATCATTCACCACACATTGAATTTCTTTTCAATTTTTGTTGCAATGAGAAACCATATTATTCTCAAGCCGAACCTGCTTTAAGGATCATTTAATTTGAAGCCGGTTCTGTTGTCGATTACTGCGCACACTCACCAACGGCCTGCGCAAGGTTCAATTGGAGTCAATTTTTCGCTACAAGACTGTCTCTCTATTTACTTATATACAACCATTGAATAATAAATTCAGATTTATTATTCAATGATACAACTCTGTGGTTCCAGGGGAGTGTCACGTCAAATTTATTCAAGATGACCGCCGATTGGAATCATATGATTAATTCATAAGAAAACCACAGAGTTGTATAGGAGATATTCGCATTTGAAATGGTTTTTTTCTAAAAAAAACCAAAACAAATGCGATTTAAGTCACCTTGTATTAAAATTTTTAAATTTTAATACAAGGTTTAAATTGTGCAAAAAATTACAGATAACTTTAAACACACAACATTTCTTTCAATAAATGCTCATTGCCTTCCGCCTGCTTCCATACAATAATAAAGATTTGCTTCAAAACGCTGCCGTACATGTTGCAAGATTTCAGGGGTAATAGCTCGAAATTGTTGAGTTATATCATAGTGTATTCTATTCTTACACTATGGTTATACGTGCTCGCAACCCCTGTAATGTTCCGGGCGGAGTAGCATAAACTTTATTCTTTAAATATCCCCACAAGAAGTAATCTAAAGGACTTAAATCAGGGGAAAAAACCATTTCAAATGCGAATATCTCCGAAACGAATCAATAGAATTTAAAAAGCAAAGCAGATTAGTAATCACGATTAAATTGGCTTTCAAATAATGTGCCATTTGCCATAGGATTCCATTTAAAATTTTAGGGGTTAAGCTCCCTACGTAGAGGGGTGAAGACTTGGGTTCGTGATTTGTATTCCAAAAGTTGTCCCCCTCGAATACAAAATTGACGTGTTCGAGGATTTTTCGAAATTTCTAAATTTAATACCCTAAAAG